TTGTAGGTAGGAAAGGAAAGTACCAATGTGGAAATGTGGGACATTGGGGCCCAGGGGCCTGGGGAGAAAGAGGAGGACTAGTAGGCCTCCTGATGGAAATGCCATCAGACAAAAAGGCCTGTGAGATGGGTGCTCACAAGGAGAAATGCACTAACAAGAGCCACGTAGGTTTCCGCCACAAGAAGATGATGGCTAAAGCCAAGAGAATGGGCTATTATATATATGAGAAAAAGGAAAGAGTTGCAGACAAAACTTTGTAAAGAAAGGAAGAGAACAGAAAGGCGACAGAAAAAGCAGCCAGCAGAGAGAATGAGGAACTCCACCAGCACCCTAGTCACGTCAACATCAGGAAGGGCTGCTCAAGTAAGACAAGCAGTCAGAAACATGGCTGTCGCAAACCTGAGCAAGAGAAAAGAAAGCCCGCACTAAGTCCATTTGAGATGACTTAAGAGGTAACCAAGGAGGGACAGAAGCTTAAGTGGAAGGGTCACAGGGAGAATCCAGCCACAAGGATGTGTAAAATGAGTAAAAAAATTCCAAAAGCATTGTGGTAAAGATTATACAGCTGCTTTGATATAACTGGACTATTCAACTGTATGTGGAATAGTGCCAATGCGGGAGCAGATGAAGGGGGAGTAGGAGAGAGTGGAGCACATCCTGGCTCACCAGGCCTTGAGGATGATGACCCCAATTAGAGCAGCCAATCCACAGAGAGGACAACATGGCCAACCCCTCTATGAGACATGACGCCCCTCACTGACCCATAGCCCTACAGGGGACAACACTGGAGACACAGTGTGGGAATTGCACCCGATCTGACCCTGCCACACTGAGGCAAAGCACCAGGGGCATGCAGCGGAACAGCAAGGTAATGGAGCAGCAAGGTCCCCAGGGAATGCTGAAGGTGAACTTTGGGGCCAGGGTGTGGTACCCCAACAGACTGAACTGGAAAACACTCCTAAAGGCAAACAAATGATCCTTGAACTAACTACAAGCTTTTCTTTCTTGTTGTGTTTTGTTTTGTTCTTTGTCAGTGGTTTGTTGATGTTGTTTTGTTGCATATTATTTCTTGGTTTTGCTCTGTCTTGTTTTTGTGCATGTTATTATCTCCACAGGTCTGTCTAAATAAGATAGGCTGAATGAACATTCTGGAGGAGAAAACAA